TTTTTTTTTTTTTTTTTTTTTTTTTTTTTACCGCTTTATCGAACGGTACCTTTATTTCAAAGCTGATTCACTAGCGGTATAGCTGCGTTTCGTAGAAATCACCTTGAATTCCTTCTTTTTCTTTTTCAGGCCTGCTAATTGCAACGATGTCGTGAATGCCGATACACTTGGTGTGTTTGATGTACTCGCGTCAGAAATGCTCACAACGTCGAAGTTTGATTACCTTTGCCCGTATAATCAATTCAGATTTTTAATGATTTCGTACCATACTCTTATCATTTTCTGTACGTAGCTGCTGCGAAATGATAAACGATTTTCACAAATAATTCCAAACGTAGAAAATTGCCCGACCTGTTCATCTATTTTAAGAATTAAAGAAACATTTGGTGCACGTTCGTCGTAGCCACGCATCCAGCACGCGAACGAGCGGAATACGACAGAAATTCGTCAACCTTTGCATTTTCAGTAAGAAATTGGCAATCAGAGATATAAATCCATCGCATCCATAGCCTACATCGAGACTGAAAGGTAAACGGTAAACGATCGCGGGGAAGGAGAACACGCAAGAAAACGTCATCAAATGGGATAAAGCGACTAACAACCCTTGAGGACGGCAGGTCTCGAACTTCCTGTTAATCTCTGTGAACAAATTGGCGGTGAGACCCCGCGAAGCGTTCGTTCCTCTAAAATTCCTTGGAATCAGGGTCACCCACGTACATATATGTACACGTGGCTTCGACGCTAGCACATACACGGCAAAATGTAACGAGTGTATGGTTTGGTCGCTCGTGGGGGACGAGGCAGGGTTGAGTAAGGGAAAGGAGGCAAGGACGAGGAGGGGAAGGAGGGTTCCTTCCAGAAGATGGGGCAAACACGAAGTTGCCTCGGTAGGAAGCGAAGAGGGGTTATTTCGTTTCGTCTCAGCGTGGTTTCCCAAGCGGCTTGCCGACTGGCATCGTCTACCGTTCGGCACACAGTCGAACTCGTTCGCCACTGGACGACGGACGTCGCGGCGTCGTCGTCGTCGCCCTTTTTATCTCAGATATTTTCTCATTCGCGTCAGCTCAGGGAAATCGGTGGACCACGATGCGTCACGCGCTACCGCTCGGTTTCTTCCTCCTCGTATTTGTGACAGTGTACGCGCGCCGAGCCACCGGTTGCGCTTTCTGCGACAAGCTGTCCCAGCAACAGTTGCAACTGCGCCAGCTACAGCAGTTGTCACAACAACAACCGCACCAGCAACAACAAGGGTACAAAACGATCGGCAGCCCGAGGCCTTTCGGTGCCGAGAAACCGACCAGGGTGCAGGAGTTCAACAGGACTGGCGTGCTGCACCCCGAGTACTTGATACCAGCCACTCTCAGCCCTGGTAACGTATCTCAGTAAGTATCTATCACCCTGTCTTCTTAATTTCATCAAATGTCATTGATACTTGCAATAAATCTTCAATTTCATCCGCCATGAAGCCACCGTTTTTAACCAC